ATTTAAAAATTTTTAAATTAAATATCAAATATCAAATATAACTCACATCTAACCTTTAAAAAAAAAAAAAAATTATCCACTCCTACTTGCAATGGCTCAGTTTCAACGGATCTTCTCCACTGTACTCTAATGTCACTGACCATGAACCCATTAGTAAAATGGGCTTTAGCTTCTTTTTTTTTTTAATATTAAGGCCCCATTTGATATAGCGATTTTGGGGTAGCGGTTAGTGGTTTTACCTAAACCGTTAAATATAGGTATTTGGTAAATTTATATATTTCGAAACCGTTACAACTAAAGTGTTTGGTAAAATTTTTGTTTAGCGGTTTGAAACTAGCGGATAGCGGTTAGAGTCTAAATTGCTAGCGGATTGAAAAAGCTAGTTTATGTAACTTTTTATACCAAACCGCTAGCGGATTAGAGTTTTTTAATTTTATTGACAAATTTATCCATTTTAATTTTTTTATTTGCAGTCACATTTTTTAATTAATAATTATCTAATAAATTTCAATTTCGTTTTTTTACATTTAATAACATAAAGTGATTATAATATTTTTTTGTATATTAATTTATAATTAAAATATATATTATCTTAAAAAACAAAATTTGTTAATTAGACAAAATGATTAATTTTTTAATTTAAAAATAATATAATTTTTTCTTTTTTAAAAATAAAAATGATGGTGTAATTACATTATTATAATTAATTTTATTAATTTTATTATATTTAAAAAAATTAATTTTTTCAATACTAATCTTAAGGTTTAATTTTAAATTTAATTTATAAAATAATATTTATTTACTAATAAATTCCACTAACTTAAGAAGTTTATAAGGCATTTGAATGCAATTGCAGGCGGGCCGGATAAATTATTTCACAACATATAAAAATATAGGGCCGTTGTTTTCTTTTTAATAGTATAAAATAATATAGAGATAAAATACACTATAATTTTAAAATTAATTAATTTAAAATTATAACAAACTTTATATATATCATTTAATTCACATATATAAAAATAATATAAAACAAACATTTTATAAAAATAATACGGGACAAATACCCTACAATAAAAAGCGAGGGCACTACTTAAGATGATAATTTCATGAAATAACTCCTTGTTGTTGACTCTGAATTATCTGCAGCTTTTGTATTTTCTAAGAAGACTGAAGGAAGCAGAGCCGGTGCTTCTTTTTCCTATCATAAAACCCACAAACTACACATGCCACGGGAAAATTTTCTATTATAATACCCACGTGCTACAGGAAAACATAAAGGTTTTTATTTTCAGATGAGATTGTTTTTTAAATGATGTAAGCATTGAAAACTTTGGGTAAATGATTATGATTTTTCGATAACTAAAGTTTGAAATTTTCAATTAAAATGTAAAATTAAGGTTCGATTGAATCTAAGAAGAAAATAGCAGAAAAAAAAAAAAACAAGCACGATCAAGACACTAATAATCAACGTCAATTCCCCAAAACAGTTATTTCGGCTCTTATTAATTCCTAATTTGGGCCAGTAAAGACTTATAATTAGGGGTGAGTTTGACTGCAGATGCATTTATTATTTGTTAAGTGTTTTATTTATTTAGGTAAATAATATATTT